ATGCATACTTTTGTCAAATGAGGCTTCCCCACTCCAAGTGATCATTATAGAGTCTAAAAATACTTACAAAGGAGAAGTGGTCTGCTCTGATAAGCCCTTAGTGACATGCTGGTGGTGCCAGAAGCTGGGAAGATCCCGGGCGGAGGCCCTGGGCTAGCACGCCGGGTCCAACCCACGAGGCAGGACTATCTGACAGCAGCTCCACCCCGAGGAAAAAGCACTGCGGGTACAGCTGGGAAGCTGACAGCACAACTGGTCTGTTGGACATTGTTGTTGGGACCAAGAAGCCAAGTGTATAAGTCAGTTATGGCCACAGTGATGCTGTGTAATGAAGCGCCTCAAAGCTCAGTGGCTAAAAGCAACAGTTCTTTAGGCTGTGGAGCTAGAGGTCAGCTGGGGCAGCTCTCTTCATTCTGCAGGTCTCTGGGTCTGAGTCCTCTCCACTGTCTCTTCCCTGCCCTGAACCAGAGGGCTCGCTGGGGTGCGTTTTCTCATGGTGAGGGCAGAGGCCCAAGAGGAAAAGAAGAAACAAGCCTCTTAAGGCCTTGATTGAAAACTGGCACTATCACTTTAGCCCAATTTCACAGATGGAATGAAAGGCCAAGCCCAGTATCACATGGTGGGAAGGTGTACTCTGCCTGTGATGGGCTGTGGTCCGAGCACAGTGCCGGGAGACACAGAGAACCTGGGCCAACAATCCAATCAGCCACTGCCCACCTCCATGGACGCATTATTCATATCCCTTTAACGTGAAAAACACCCCATCTCCATCAAAGGACACCCTGAAGTCTCACTCAGTCCCGGTACCAGGCTCCATATTTAGGACTTCAGGATGTACACATGGTCCAGATGTGACTAGTCCTATGAACTACAAGCACAAGTTACTGGCCCATCTGCACCCCCCACCACAGCCACACAACACACACTGGTGTGACAGGGACAGGATCATCACAATGGACACCCCCATTCAAAGAGGAAACTCAGTCCTGAGCAATTCTAGAATTCCTCTAGGCAAATCAGACAAGTTCCCCTGCCCGTGTGAGTAGAAAGTGTTTCTTGATTCCTGCTTCTTTTCCCAGGGGAAGGGGAGGGACGGTGGGGGCCGGGGCAGGGGACGGGACCCCCCAGTCCACGCTCTCTACGTGGCTCTGTCCTCTGCAATACCCTTGCCATCGTGTTCCTCATTGCTTCTGACGAGGACACCAACTTAAACCTTTTTTTAGTGGCTGAGTTTCCCCAGCCTGTTTGCTACCTGAAGAAAACTGAGGCTCAGAGGTTTTTCTCCCTCTGTTTCAGTTTCTTATTCAGGCTAACTGTACTCTGGTAATACCCCTTTCTCTACTACTTAGTGGGTTTTCTATGTATTTGCCCGGAGTTCATTCCATGAGTCAAAAATCACGATTGTTTTTTTCAAGACATGCTTCTCCCCAGACTTAATTACGAGCCCTCTGGGCACGTCAGGTGTCTGTGGGACCCTGCCCCTGCCCAGCTGGAAGATCTACTAAAAGCCATTTTGTAATATTTTGCAGCGTTATAACCAAGCCCTCGACTGGGTCTTTGCCCCGAGGTCATGTTTTCCTGCAAATCCCCTGGTCTTGTCTCTCGCTCTCAGATCCACCAGCCAATCCCGGGACTTCATCTTGGCTGCATCTAACTTTGAGAATCTTTTCCTGCCTGGATGGGCTAAAGATACCAGTTGTTTTTTTTTTTTTTTTTTTTTTCTAAGTAGCAACTTCCCGGCTGCTTGCCAAATGTTCTTTGCTTGGTTTTTGCTTTGAGCATCTCTTTCTTATAGTAATTTAACTATACGTATTTAAAAGCAAACAACTCATCCTTTCAAAGTCTGTCTTAGGAATTTCTCCCTCCTCTTTCTCTCTGCCCTTTCACTTGGCTGCGCTGCTTACCACCATGCAACGAATCAGTGGGTGGAATCAAAATCCTAATATTTAGATTTGTTGACACAGAATTTCCCACTTGGACCATAAGAACAAATTTATCTGTACCGACCAACACTTCTGGAACTCTATTGAGAGACATCAAGAATTGGTTCAGCTCTAAAGAAATACTATTTTTAAATTGTATTCTGTCCAGAGCTCCTGTTGGGACCCGAGAGAGAGAAAAATGACAGAGCAAGACTTGGATGTTTTGAGAATTTTCAAAATTGTACCTCTGTCCCTTGGAAGGGCCGCAGGTGCAAATCTGACTGGCCTAGAAGGAACTGGAACAGACTCAACCATCTGTCAGCCCTAGGACACGGTGCAGTCATGGATTACCAGCTCCGATCTGGTTCCATCTAAGCCCTGCACAGGTGACCTCAGCCACGCGAATGCACGTTCCTCTAGAAAGAACTAACCACTCACTTTTTCCACAAAGACTAGACTGATTTACACAGTTCATTATAGTATCTGGGTCTGTCTGTGGATAGATTAATTGTCTGTGGCCCACTACACTCCACTGCAGAGCCAGTGAGGCCAAGGCTGTACCACCACAGACTTTTGCAAGGACACAGGTCCATGTCCCTCTTCACCCCACGGGTAGCAAAAAGAGACGAATCCATTCAAAGTCCACAGTTTGTCCCCAGTAAAGATGCAGCTAAGCCTCTTACCAATGGAAATCCCTGCGCAAGTTCACCTCGTGTAGGGTGGAAGGCCCAGGTCTTCCCGGAATTTAGGGCAACAGAGCTGGCTTTGGTGCCCAACTCTCCAGGGTCTGCAGATCTAACCTGGGACTCAGTTTCCAATAAATGCAGAACTTTATGGAGGCTGCAGACTAGGACCCAGATCCTTCCAAAGAGGATCAGTCAGCCACTCCTCAGACTGGACAAAGTTGGGGCTCTTTTTCCAAAACCCGAATGTTTGGCAGAAGGCCCAGACATACTGCCTTATACCTCACATATCAAATATGGTTTAGCTCGTGTACTTAGAACTTAACTTTGGCCGGTAGGTAGATGCAATTTCCTTATGAAGTTTTCCTCTGGGCCCAGCAAGAAGCTCTAGCTATAAATGTAGGGTGTGGCCCCAGAAGTCAGCTAATAACACATAGTCCTTGGTCCCAGAGCCGCAGAAGCAGCTGCATGGCCTCTGGCTCTGCTGGAAGGAAGATATAAATCCCCTGGGGTGGGGGTGGGGGGTATGGTCCTAACTTGCATAGTTAGCCACCTGTTAGGACTCTTACCTGCGCTCCGTGCAGCTGACCATGTTCCCTTTCACAGCGACCTCCACTTCAGAGATGGAGAGAAGTGTAGGCGCAGAGAAGTTCAGCAACGCACGCGGGTCCCCCGGCACCGGGGTCTGAAGGCAGGGCGTGCTCCCGCAGTCCCGCCTCTGCGCCGGCTCCAGGTTGGGGGCCGCCTCTGCACGCGGGATGGTCACCCGTGCGGAGGGCCTGCCCGCCGGGAACCGCTCTCAGCCCTGAAGACAGAGATGTTAGCTGATCGCACCTGCATCCCACCCAGAAATGCGAAAGCCTGTATCTTCACACGGATGGGGGCTCCCCCGGCCTCTTCTTGGAAGGAGGCTGCAGTTTTGTCTGCAGAAAAGCCCATTAAATGTCTGTTCTCAGAATCACTTTGCGCGGCTCAAGAACACAAAGACCTCAGTGGACACTGCAGACACTGCAGAGGTGGATTCGGTCTGGCAAGTTCAGCCTCTCACCTATGGAATCTGACTTTGATGAGCACCAGCTGTTTGACCAAGAGGAACTAGCTGTGAGTGATTTAAGTGATCCACCAGATCAGAGTCTGTATCAAACACCTGAATGGTGGATGAAACGCTTTCAGATACGATTGGAGTCATTTTTATAGCTGGCTCAAAGAAGTAACACAGAATGGGATTACTTCTTGAGCTGTTGGGGAGGCTGTGAATATAGAATCATGCTGCCAAGGAGAAGTGGAACAGTTCTCCTAGAATGCTCTGGAGTAAATTCAGCTGGGAGAAAAAGAGGACGTCAGCCTTCACTGTTTCCCAGCGCTTAGAATTTACATATGTGTTGAGAGACCGACCCCAGTTGCTCTGGTTCTTGGACTGGTGTTGAAATGCAGACTTGGTCAAAGCATGACTTGTTTAGACTCTTCCCTGAACTCACACTGTTTGGCCCAAACTTGGCTTATGTTTCTAATCTGCACGTGTGCCCACGTCAGTGAACAGTGCTGGTAACACCAGGAACCTGGGGGCATCTTGGACTACCCCCCCGTCCCACCCCACACCCGATCTCCAAGTCCTAATAATCCACTCGTGTTGATGGAGCCTGAACCTACCTGCTTCTCTCCATTGCGGCCCCACCATCATTCAGGCTCTCGGGATCTCACCACTGAATTACCGAAGGCGTCCCCCAGCTGGTGCCTTGACCCCGGGGACCCTCCCCGTCACCCACTCTCCACACACTGCTGCCGGTGAGCATCCTCAGATGTGAAGGGGACGTTCCCGTGGCCCCCCAGCCTGTCCCACCGGTCTCCTTACCCACTGAGGCTCCTTTCCCACCGTCACTCCGGCTCCTTCAACCAACACCGAGTCCTGGAGGCTTTCTTGCTTTCTCATCTCTACTCAAGCTTTGTTTTTTGTTTTTCTGTGCAGGGAATGCCCTTCCGCCACCCCTTCCCCAAGGAGGGCGACAGGTGCAGACAGAGCTGGAGCTAGAATGCAAGATGGGTGTGCAAACACACGTGCTGACGTGCACACGCGCTGGGGCTGTTACTGGGAACCCCCAACCTTCAGGGGAGATGAGGGAGTGGTATGGCACCGTGTACTTTTTTTACTTTACTGTTCAGATTTTTCTATAGTGAAGATTGTGTAACTGTCTTTCTCTATTTTAAATTACATTTTCCCACCTTCACCTCCAGAGATTCTGATCCAGTGGGGAAGAGTCCAGGATTCTGATCTTCCAAAGACCCTCCACAGATTCTGCTCATCAGGCAGTTTGGGAACTGTGGCTGAAACAATTGTTTCCAACAGAATAAGGCAACTGACATTTTTGTTTTTAAGGAAATCCCCAATGCTATTATATAACCATTTAAAAAATTATTTCCTTTTATTTTTGCAGTAACTTAATTCTACTACAAATACACATTCTCTAAGGACATTAGATTTGAATTATCTGTAAGCATTACAATAGCATTAGCAGTCATTTTAACAGTTAGCCACATTTGAATAAAGGGTCTAAATAATCATTGTAAAGAATATATTTGTGTAGTAGGTTTCATAAATCATTTTAAATTAAGGCAAACAAGAAAAAAACTACAAATACAATAACAGAGTTTCTTAAATTCTAAATTTAAAACACAAATACCATTTGATTGACTCAGAACAATGGATATTCTCAAAATATTAAGTAGAAAGTTATTAGAAATTATCAACTTTGGGATAATGGGTACCTATTTCACTAAACATTTTTTAAGTTTTGACTTCGGGAGAATATAAAGATGCGAATGGCTTTCTAATTAACTTTTGAAAGTATCTATAATGCGCTATAATTCGGACATCAACGCATCTATTTCTTTAAACTTGTTAGTTATACTTTCAATGCATTCTCCAGCTTTCAGCTGTAGCCCATCAATCACGAGATAGTCCTCTTCACAGAGGTCCTCAGGCGAGCTGGCCGCAGGAGCTTCAGGGCCGCATTTACAAGACTGTAAAAATAACCATACAGTTCATTAGGACTACATCAAGTCTGCTTGAAGACCAGGCTTAATTATTTCACAAGTAAAACGCGAAGCAGTCCGTAACTCCCGCATCCACAGCAGGCACACGGTGTCCGCCACGCTGGTCAAACAGGGATCCCAGGTTGTACAGTAAGTGTGTTCATGTGAAAGTCACTTACTGAGTCACGTCTAAGTGAATAGATTCCCCAACATTACACGTTTTTAGTTTGATTTTATGCTTTGGAAAAATGTGGTCATTAGAATTAAAATTCTGGGAGTTTTCTCTATTTATTTATTTAAAAGTGATTCTTATGAGGAGGGGATACAAGTCAAGAGTTGTTTCAGGCACATTTTCTGAGATCACCTTGTAAGCATCTATATTCCTGACAACTAGGGAGAGTGTGTATGCCAGCTTAGTGGGAAAGGACACGGGTAAAAGAACACAACACACTCATTTATGAGATTTATAACTTCAAGGTTCATTAAAAGTAGAGGTCAATTCCCACACAACATAAGGAAAAAAATGTATGTAGCTTATACAAGTGCGTTCATGTATCAAAAATGTACCTTGTAATACAAATAATTATTCAGTAAATTCTGTCTTATTTGTATATGGGTGACCTAATTTGTGAATTACTCAGGTGGATTTTATAATGATCTGAAATTAATTCCTTCCCATTTTTTTCCCAAGTCAGGGCATGTCAATGAGCAGTAATATTAGCTAAGAACATAATTAAAAAGGTGACTCTACTGAGGAAAATAATCAAAAGTATTTCAGTGACAAACTGAAATGAATGTTGATGATCCATGTGTGTCTGCCTTTTTCCCCGTTGCTCCTCCCTGTTCACTGGTCTAAGCGCTTGAGTGTAATCAACTTGAAACCTCATACAGGAAATGAATGATGCAAACACCATCGAATTCACAACTCTGAAAAGAGCTCAGTCTCTGCCCAGAGAACAAACATGCTCAGAACTTAAAACTTAGCAGGTGGCTCTTCTTGGTGTGCCAGCTTTACCCAAAGTGGAAGGGCCACTTTCTCCTAAAAACAAAATGCGTCTTCCGTTTGAGGTGGGATTACCTTTGGAAGCCACATTAATATTTCCTACCAACTTAGAAAAAAAAGGAAAAAAAATAAATCCCTTAGGGGATCATTCTTTATTTTTAAACTGGAAATGGCTCCGGCTTTGACAGCTGGTTTCACTGCTATTCTCCTCATTTCAAAGCGAATAAGGCCCTGAGTAACCAAACCTGCATGAGAACCACGCTCATTAAACTTGGTGGAGAACAGCCCACGAACCAGTCAGCAGGCGGCACGCACCTGCCTGCCAGCAAGCTAAAGTGGTTAATTTTGTATAATTCCTCAGTGCCTTTTGAAAACCTAAAATATTACAAAAAGCCCGCTCTTGCCTGGCGATGTATTAAAACTAGATATTTGACCTTAAGAAATAAAAACCCGAAGTAATTTTCTGTTCTATCAGGTTACCAGTTATAATGGCAAAATAGAAGCCAATTCTGTGGGTAAAAACTCCAGGCCATTTCTATAAAAATCAACCTGGCTGTGTTTTTGAAAAGACGAACTGCAAAGACTGGAAAAAAACACTGTATACAGCCATATGGTGCTCAAACAAACACACATTTGCTAGAAAAGAATAATCTGTAAGTTAACTATACATATACAATATATATGTCACCAATCTATAGATCTTATTCTACAAAAGGTAAGATCTACAGAGAGAGAACAAGCTTTTTAAGAAAGGGAACTCTAATTGAGAAAACGGTGTCCACAGTCCATGGCCAATCAGGGACAAGCTCGTATCACTGATCAAGAGGATGATTCTGTCTTTCAACTCAGTGAGTGTTTTTAATGTTATTTTTATTTTCTCTTGACACTTCGATCTCAGCTGTAAATTCTGTATATTTTCTTGACTTCTAACTCAATAAAGGAGGTGTTTAAGAATCACCTTTACTCTTGCTAAAGGTCTGAATGAACTCAGCCAAAGTGGGGAAATGATCTTGTCCATCTACAAATCCACCGTTTTCTGCATCTCAGAACAGACTTGGGGGCGGGTGGGTCCTCACAATGAGAACGTGGGCAAAGAGATGCAGCAAGGAACCCTCAGCCCTTCCTCTCTCCAGTGGCTGCCAGAGCCAACGCTCATCTGTAACAGTAGCCAATTTTGGGGTGCCAATTACTGTGCGAAGCACTTTTCTGGTTTGCCCCATTTAACCCTCAAACAATCCTCTGAGGCAAGTGATAAGCAACTCTGCCAAAACACACCAGTCCTCGGTGGCAGGACCGGGACGGGGGCACAGGCACCGGGTTCCGGGCTCGCTGTGTATCTGAGTGAGTGAGCGAGAGAATGAACGAAGCCCTGAGGACCCACAGCTCCTCGTGGCCACTCGTCTTCCCCACTATTTAGGGAACAGCTGTACCACCCCTGGGGAGCATCTGCCTTGTGACTTGCTTTTCTCACACCTGCCACACTGCTGCTGTGTGTTAATGACCCGGGCTTGGCCCCTGATTTTATCTGCAGAGACACGGAGCTGATGTGCTGAGTGGTTTGTCAACCAACTTCAAATTTCTGTTGTCACATGGAAGTACTGGATGCTGTAAACACACACGGCCTTTCTCAGCTCAACATAGTTGCTCCCCCACCAAAAAGAAGACAATCTAGTTAAGGCTAGTGAAACATATCCAGGTGAGAACCTCCGCCTCCAGGGTGTTATTAAGGAGGTTTGCCCCCGTGGGGGTTGTCCCTGTGCAGGAACCAGACAGGGCAGATTTTCCAGACCGCTCTCGTCCTGACCGTCAAGACTGGAGCCCCTCAAACCACGAGCCCCTCCCTCTCCTCAAACACATTTTTCTTTTCAAAGACTGAACCATATATTCTGATTTCTCAACAGGCTGCTTAGTTTATTATCTACCCTGTGATAATCAAGGGCTCACATTTCAGAACTGAAAAAAAAAATTCCCATATAATTAAAATGAACATCCAGGAGCAATTTCTGCCACTTAAGGAATCTGAAGGTGCTGTTCGGCCTGATAATAACCACGAAGCCTACCTTCCCTGCTGCCTCCGTCTCCCCCTGCTCCTCTTCAGCCCCTTCAGGTGCTGCCGTGGGCTCCAGGGCTTGCTGAAGCATTTGCTCCAGCTCTTTCAGTAAAATTTCGGTCTCAGAGACAACTAAAGAAACATCAGTAATTAGACAGTCAAAATGCTACATCTTAATTCATGCCATCCAGTTCATAATCTCAACCACCCCCAAGGAGGACGTTCTCTAAATGTTAGGAGATAGAAAATAAATATTTCATATAATTTTCATGTCTGGAATTGGCTTGATGCAAAATTATTATGGGTTTCCGGGTCAATCTTTTTACAAGTACCCCCTGAAAAATGTAGGTGACGTTCTTGCTATGTGTGGACCACAAAGTAGCCCTGAAGTATCAAAAGCTCACCAGAAGTTGATATTTCTTTAATAAGGAGCCAAGGGCACCAAATGAAATTGTTATTTATAGACCAGAGGTCAGCAACTTTTTTCTGTGAAGGGCCAGAGAGTAGATATTTCAAGCTTTCTGGGCTGGACAGTCTCCATCACACCTCAATTCTCCTGCTACAGTGCAAACCATATGTATCTGTATAAACCAAATGAGAGTGGCTGTGTTCCAATAAAACTTTATTTACAAGAACCGGCAGCCACTGGTGGACTCAGGGCCACGATTTGCCAGTCCCTGCAATAAACTATTCAAACTGCTATTTAAAAGGGGAGGCCTTGTAATTACGTGGCTAGGCTACACACAGGCTACGCTATTCCTAATCAAAATATCAGTGCATCTTAAGGATCTGATCTGATTTTAAAAAAAATAAACCCACACACATAAAAGTTGTGGGGTTTTTTTTTGCTATAGTGACATAAACATGTGAGTAGGCAAAAAATCTGGTACTTCATTGAATGTGCTGAGATAAAACAGTATTCCCTACCAAAGAAATTAACGCCTATAAACGTCCAGTGTAACTCTACAGAGGCGATTACTGATTAACAATTTGCAACTGATTCCCGATTTAAATAAAGCAAACATTTTCATTTCAGACAGAGTCTTGCGGAAGCGAAGACCAGGGGAAGGAGGCCAGCGTGGCCTGCCCCGACACCACAGACAGATGGAGCACCTGACAAGTCTTCCAAGACAGCAAGAGGCAAGGCCACGCACACACACCCCATCACCTTCCACTCCAGTTGTTCCCATCTGACACACAAATCCTTTTATCCGCTGTTCACTGGCAGGTCACCAAAAATCCCACTAGGCAGAGCAGCTGAAAGTTCAGGGGACCCAAGCTGGACGCACCCTTCAGTGGTAAAATATTATCAATGGATATGGAAGCAAGATGTTCTCAGCAATAACATTAATTTCAATTTAATTGTGCATGTGATATACACATCCATTTGTCTGTGTGTGTGCGTGTGTTTACACTCACAGGTATCCTGTAAACCAAGCATGTTTTAAGGTAAAAAACAGAGATTATTAATGTGAAAAGTTCCAGTTCAAAAGAATCCATATTTTATCACCATCTCCTTTTATGCGATCCACACATATTTACTGAGTGCCTTCTAAGGCCGGGGACTTGGCAGGAGTCACAGAGCAGCGAGTTTCCTGGCATCATCCCTACCCAGCCCACCTCAGGCTTTCTCTATGGAAAACTTCCAGAAAGGTTTGAAAGCAGCTTTCTGATAAGCCACCCCGCACCTTGGGATCAGCTTCTATATTTGAGAACAAAACAAACCGACAAAAACCGTAGCTCACATGTTAGCTGTCTCCACGTGGATCTGTGTTCTGTGGGAATCGCTAAGCCTAAGAACACAGCCTATGCACTGTTACACTGGAGAACATGGTCCTCCAAATTTGAGGGGTGTCAGAATCACCTGGAGAGTCTATGAGGAAACTCCAAAGCAACCCCATCTACTGAACAAGGCTTTTCGACAGGAACGCATGTTTTTATTGCAGCAGTTTTGCTAATGAGGTTAACCTCTCTTCAGGACGGACTTCTTGCTTAGGGACCTGTCACCTCATGACACCTACGTGTGGTTCTCTTCACCCCGATTCCCCAGTCCCACTCATCCCTGCTTCTCATTCTGAGTCTATGGAAATTGACGCTGACACTTAATGCACTGTTGAGAAGATGAATTTTGAGCTGTGCTGTAAAGGAAAAATGGCACACAAATATCTTTATGTTTCTAAGGCTCGACTAAAATACAACCAATTTATGATAACGCAGGTCACTGCTGAATGCTTTTGTGGGCTCTCTGTTTTCAAGTGATCTGGAAAAATATCTCCGCTGTCTTTTGATCTGAGGGTACACAAAGTAATGGATGACTTCATAAATCAACAGGGGTTCATGACACCAACTTGACTGATGTCAAATTCTGCTTCCACAGCAACAGGAGGCTTGCTATTCTCAACAGGTATTTCTATTCTGCGAACTGATGGAGTCCAAAAATAATTCTCGGAAATAGAGGTTACTGTAATCTACAAACTGGGTTAGCGAAATTGGTCAATGAGGTCCTCCGAGGATGGAGACAGGATGAATGCCTGTGCTTACTGCCTGGCCAGTCTTCATCTATCAACCCTGATTATCCTGTGCTTTTCCTGACTTGCTTCAATTTGTTGTTGAGAGTCAAGTGGTGCATGATAGCTGTTCTATCACAGAAAAATTAAAAAAAAGGAGGAAAAAAAGGATCCCATACTGAAGTCTGCATTTGGCTTTTAAAAATGAATTTTTGTAAAATAAATCAGTGTTGTTTTTCCGTTCCTGACAAGAAATAACTTATTGTTTGTCTCAATAAATTGGTCACTATTTTAAAAGCCTTCAGATTTATATTTATGAAGTTTGGGTTAATCTCTATTTCTCTATTCAGTGTTTAAACAAGCTGTTTCATCCCTCATACAAAGGGGCTGGGTTACTTCTCGCCTGGCACTGAAAACATCATCTTAAATACATTTTCAGGGCCATTTCAATATTGAAATTTTGAAGCCATTCTTACAGAGAAGTGGGGTGAAGAGGAGGCAAAAGCATTGGTTTGGTTTGGTTTTCAATAAACGACAAACCCTTCCTCCTCTGAGAGTTCAAGATTCAGATGCAGAGATGAGTGAAATCCAGGCTGACGTGGAGTGAAAAGGTCACCGTCCTGAGACACTAGCAGAAACAGGAGGCACCGTGCTGTTTGGAAAGGGGCGTGCCGGCCACCCCCGCCCCTTTCAGCCTGCAGGTTGAAGGTAACTCCCAACCAAGAGCAGGTGGGGGCAAGGTTTGTCTTGAAGAGCGAGACAGTACCTTTCTCCCCATCACCGCCCAGCCCCAGGCCTCCAGGCCTCCTGCCCTGGCCAGGCTCAGCCCATGGTCCAGACCTTTCCTGTGCTAACCATTCTCTGCTGCGCCCACCGGCCTCAGGTGGCTGATGATCACACCCTGGGCTAACTTATTAATGAATAGTAATAGATTATTAGTTAATCCAGGGTAATCCGTCAATCTTTCTTTATTAAAACTTTGACAGACTGTCTACTTCCCCAAAAGAAATGAGGTGATGACCAACAGAAAACAGTGATACAACGAAACAGATGACAAAAACTCGAAGACTAAAAACAAAAGGAATCAAAATCGATTCATTAAGGGGGATACAAAGGGCGATAATGACGTTTAAAAGATGCTTAGACCAACTACCACTGCTGTACAGGATAACCATACATTTAGCTTTAAGCTTCTGGTACTCCAAGCAAGGAAGCAACTGTGAGCTTTGAGGAATTTTAAGAAGCTATGGGACCTTAGAAAAATCATATAACCTAAGTGCTTCTGTTTCTCCACTGATAGAACGGGCGGTGTCAGAATTCCTATCTTACCTGTCTCAGAGAGATCTTGTGAGGGTTAAACCAATCAGTAGACATGAGATGTTTAGAAGAGTGAGGACACACAGTAACTGTTACAGGTGTTGATTATCATCGCTATTATTGTATTATTATTTCATCATCATAGATGAATTTTTTTTGTCCCTGAACACTGGAAAAAAAAATTAGTTACAGGGACGACACAAATATAATACAAGATATTACTGGCAGTAATTTTCCAAACAACCCAGACATGCTCCACAAATAATTCTTAGATTAAATCTTTATAGAGCCATGAACATAGCGTTTACATTATTTAATGACTTCTCCACTTTTTCTATTATTTTCCAGAGACAGTGCTCTCTTTGTTGGATAAGAGGGCTTCCTCTGCCTTTCTTTACAGCAGATGAAGACACTGATCCTTGGAGAGGTGAAGTAGCTGCGCTTAATTAACTCCCCCCGGATCTCTAACCAAAGGGGAGAGAAGTGATCGTGGAGCATAAAACCCGTACAGGCTCATCAGGGCTGGGGCAGCAGACTGATGGGGCCTTCAGGACCTGGGGGTGCGAGGAAAGAGGGTCCAAAAAGTGGGGCAGAGTCTCAAGAATAAAACGGTATAGGAAATAGGACTGGCCCTAATTAGGCTAAGAAGAAACGAGACATATCAGAGGCTTGGACCAAGAGATCCACAGGAATATGGGTAGGAGGTAAAAAGTCTGAAGAGGGCTAAATTACTGGGAAAGAACCCCTCTTTCAGGAAGTCAGTCAGGAAGCGGCTCTTATAAAGAACAGAGAAGACTGGATGTTTCTGCTCCATAGTTCGCATGGGACTGGAGGAGTAAAATCCAGATCAGGCTAACTGCTCTCACAATGAGCCCTTGAGGCTTTCAGAGCCACACAGAGCGTGAGACTACTGAAAGGGCTTCCCGTTACGCGGGGAACCGCTGAGATGCGGTCACACTGTGACACGGGAGTGTCACTGCCGGCCCTGGACTCCCGGCGGCAGTGGGTTTCCTCTGTGGGGTCCTGTGCCAGCTGAAGGGGAGAAGGGCCCAGCTGTGGGGTCAGGGTCTCCCAGTGGGAGCTCGGTTTAGGGATAGAATGATGTTTGCTTTTCCATAGGAATATCTGGACTGATCACTTGAGGCAAAGGGAAAAAACAGCCAAGGGGGAAACAAAAAGGAACCTTATTAGCTGGAAGGCAGCAGCAGAATTAAGTTGAAGAAGAGACAGGAGCAATGGAATTCTGTTGTGCTTTAGGAGAGGAACAGAAGAAATTTCTTTTTTAAAATAACTGCTCTGCCCTTCGTTGGCCTGATCCTTTCTTGTGCTGAGACTTTACGAATGGCTTGCTTAGCCAGTTGAAATTAGTGTGTAGGATGTGGTGGTGGGGCTCCATGGGGAGGGAGTTTGGCTCCGATCACTTCTCTGGGTTTAATCAACTTTGAAACGTCTTCACAGGGCTGCCAAAGCTCCACCTTGCAAGCAAGCAGGTGCCGGCTTTTCAGGACGAAGGGAAATGCAGAAAGTGGAAAGCACTTCTGAAAGCAAAGGCTTCCTCCCCGCTTTCTCCCCACTGTGGTCTGACGCCTACGGTGGGCAATTAATTCAGCTGGAAGCCCCGGCAGGTGCTTTTCTTTCTTCTGTCCCTGGGGCAGCCCCCAGACCCTGGTACCCTGGACAGAGAAGTCTGGATTGACGTGCATTGATGCTGGTGTCTCCCCAACAAATGCTGGTACTTTATTTAAAAAAAAATTAAATACATGACAAAGCCAGAGAAAATCTCATTCATTCGAGGGAACAGAAACTGAAAGTCATTGAAAAGCCCTCGTATGTAAATCCGTCCTAAAAATGTCTCACTAATGTTTCTCCTACAAGTAAGTTTTTTTTCCTTCAAAGGACGACAACTACATTTGGTGAAATTAAATAGAGGTAAAAGAACTAAGAGTGGGCCAGCTTTCACATACCCAGGTTTTCCTTTGATAACGCAGCATCTGAACAAACATTTTCGAAAGAGGATTCTAAAACAGCTTGCCTAGAAAAAGAATTTGACAGATTTAGTTCCAAAAGATCAATTGTGTATATTTAAATGACTAGTCATGCATATTCATTGCTAACTGTAAATGATAAACATCTATTTCTTAGCTTGAGGTACTTTGGCTTGGTGGTTTTACACAGTATGTGAGGCAGTGAAAAAACCAAAGGGGAATAAATGGATTCAATAATAATATTGAGGTCTCACCAGGGGAAAAGCCCTAACAATCTGCTCAGCACCTTACATGGCCTTTTTCATGTAATTCTCCCTCCAGAAACCTACTAAGTGACTGTTACTCTTATTGTATAAAGAAACCGAAGCTCTGAGAAATTGAGAAATCTGACAATGTAGGAAAATGGTTGAACATGACAGAACTAAATTCTGTCCGACCGCAAAACCCGTATTTTTTTCCACTACACTCTGTTGATGACTTAGTCAGAGAACGTTTGTTCAAATGCGTTTTCTCTAAACATAAGAGCTTGAGAAAGCCACTTAACTTCTCTAAGCCGCGAATTCTTCTTCTTTTAAATGGAGTTAATTACGAGACACCCCCTACCTATTTGATGGGGTTACTGCGGTGTAACACAGCGCTGATTACCATTCATTAAAAAAAAAAAACTGTATGGCTGGTTCAATGATAAACATGAAAACTTGTCATCAGTGGATTGTTATAAAGGCTTGTTTCTGGTTCGCATTATCGAGTTTTAAACGAAAACCCTGCTTGTCATCTGGTTGCTCACATGATATTAATCTCTGGAAGTTCTAGTTCAACATATTTGTACAAACATGAAACCTTCTCCATACTTCCAAGACTACTACTTATCATTTTATTCTTTTAGAAAATTTAAAACACATTTCCCTAGAGAAACAGAGTTAAGAACCAGGGGGAAATATCATATAAAAATTAAACCCGGCATATATATTTCAATTTTATACAGAGTGTTTAATTTAAAAAAAAAAATCAGACCTTTTCCTTTTTCTAAATTTGGGCTTTTTCTTTTCAGTCTTATTTTTGGAAACTTGCATCTGTAAAATAACAACAAGAAAAAGATGAGTTAGTTCATGTGGCATATGATGAGCTCAGTATAATAATGGATTCTATATGGTCCAAGTAATTTAGCTCAGAAGAGACACGCTGGCCCACAGCCCCAAACAACACCTGTAACTCTAAGTCACTACTTCATAATCACTGCAATTGCGCTGATTTGCTTGGTTCCAGGAATGGTCGCCTGATCCAAAATGAGTGCCTTCCCCCTGTATCCATTCTTCCTTCCTCACCTTCAAAACCACATGAAAATACTAAGTAAAACAACTTTAAAATTTTAATACATATATGATCTTTAAAGAAAGAAAAAGAAATATTCAGATGCCAGAAACATGTGGAATGCCAAGCTGTATCAGTGGGAAATGACATGGTGAAGACCTCCAGGGAATGTGAACCAGGAAAGGGCCAAAAGGGCTTGAGATTGGAGTTTTAATGTCTAAACAAAGACAAGATGAAGTATGTCGAGGAGCCGGAACCCTCATACATTCCTGGCTGGACTGGGAAATGGTGGAGCCACTTTGGAATACAGTTTGACAGTTCCTCAAAATGTTAAACGTAGAGTTACCCTCTGGTCCAGCAATTCTACTCCTAGGTATACGCCCAAGAGAAATGAAAACACATGTCCACATAAGAAATGATGTCTTGTCAAAATGATAAAACTATAAATACACATAACAGCATTCTTCATAACTGCCAAAAAGTAGAAACAACCCAGATGTTCATCAATGGACAGATATTGTAGTATACCCATACAATGGAATATTATTCAGCCTTCAAAAATAATGAACTGTTGACACATACTACAACATGGATGAATCTTGAAACCATTACGCTAAGTGAAAAGTTAAAAAAAAGTCAGACACAGAAGGCCACATGTTGTATGAGTCCATTTATCTGAAATGTCCAGAAAAGGCAAATCCACAGAGACAGAAGTGGATTAGTGATTACCAGGGTCCATGGGGAGGTAGAAATGGATAGTGATTCCTAACGAATGTTAGGTTTCCTTTTGGGATCATGAAAAAATGTCCTGAAATTAGATAGTGGTATTGGTTGCATAACTATGAATCTACTAAAAACCACTTAACTGTACATATTATAAAGAGTAAATAAATTGTATCTCAGTGAAGGTCAGAAATTTTTAAAAAATGCAATGACATGGAAAAATTGAAAGTAATGAAATAGACACAATATATCAATGATTATTAACAAAAGGAACCTGACGTAGTGATTTTAATGTTAGAAAAGAACAGATGTTAAGGCAAAAAAAGCATAATCAGAGATAAAAAGAGTTATTATTTAATGCTAAGAGAAACAATCTACCCCAAAAGTATAACAGTCCTGAACCTGTATACACCTAAAATCTTAGCCTTAAAATATACACAGAGAAACAGACAACTACAAGTAGAAATTGATGAATTTACAGTTAAAATGGGCTATTTTCATTTACTTCTAAGAAATTATATCTTAATAATAACTCAAGGAAAATTTATATGAAACATTCAGGGAATTCATGTTATTATGATGCTAGAGACTAAGTGGTCTTTTTGTGATCTTCAACCTCAAAGTAATATTCAAATATTTTTTTCCAGGACTGTTTCATATACATACAAGGTAGAAAAGCATATAGAAATATTATTGTCTAAATCATTGATCTACATCTCCAAAGACAATGTAAAGCTATCATTTCTATCTTGTTTGTTCGGGTTTTTTTTTTTTTTTTTGGAGGGGGAGATAATTAGGTTTATTATTTATTTATTTAATTTTAATGGAAGTACTGGGGATTGAACCCAGGACCTGGTGCACGCGAAGCATGTGCTCTACCACTGAGCTATATACCCTTCCCTCTATTATTTCTGTCTTGAAATTAAGCATTGGCTTAAATTATAAGCATATTTGAGTATGAGGTGAGAGGATTGCTACAAAGGAAAATAAAATTAAGGTAACAAAGTGCAAACTGCTTTATAGGTTATTAATAGAAAGAAATACTGTTAGACAACTACCAAAAGTCAAGAAGAGTTGTGTTGGTGGTAAGAAATTCCTCTTCTGCTTTGTTAAATACTCCACAGCAGCCAAAACGAACATGTCAGTACTTGCCAAATGGTCTAGTATATATTTTCTGACTAAATGACCATTTTGCATTTCAGGGTCTTCTTTTGTTAAATAATGCTAAAAAATAACTACCTCAAGGTATCTGAGGGAAAATTAAATTAAATAACATGCCAGTTAGTTGATGTTCAATCATTGTTTACCACCAGCCCACCAGGTCAGTGCCGGAACTCTGCCCTTCATCCTTAGATCACAGGACCGAGGGAACTTGGCACTTTGATATGGCTGGACTCGGCCAGCCTATTAGTTCCCCAAGGCTGCATAACAAATTACCACAAACTTGGTAAAGCATCAGAAAATTTTCCTCTTCCAGTTCTCCGGGATAGATGTCTGTCTCTTATAAGAACACCCGTCATTGGATTGATGGCCCACGTAATCCAGGATGATCACATCTCCGAGTCTTCACCTCAGTTACACCTGCAAAGATCCTTATTCCAAATAAGGCCACGTTCTGAGGTTCCTGATGGACGTATCTTCTGGAGGCTACTAGTCGACCCACCACAAACAGACACTAAAGATTACCTTATCCATTCTATCCTTTCTACTTCGCTTCCTGGGTGGCATAGCTGATTCTCCCATGTTGTCTAGTCCAACGCTCCGCAGAGTAAGAGCCACAACGTGACCGGCTCAGCACATCTGGCAGCTTGTTAGGAATACAAATACTCATGGCCACTCCAACCCTACTGAAGCAGAAACTCTGGGGTGGGGCCCAGGGATCTGTGTTTAAATAAGCTCTTTGGGTGATTCTTAAGCAAACTGAAGATTTCCAGGCAGTGGTCTAGCCCACACCCATTCACACATCTTTACTACTATAGATGTATCAAGGCTTTTAAAGAAAACAAAGCAAGTATTCATTCTTTTCTTGCTGGATGTAAAAAACAAAGAGTCATATGTATAGAGAGCACATGACACTCATCGAAAAATATATATATTTAATGATTATTACGATTGCAAATGATAGAACTGCCTTTCATTGCAAAGAACTGAAAATCCGTAAGAACTGTGTTTACATTCGGTTTATAAACTCTGCATAATGCATAAACTGACTTGACGCCACACATTTCCTTAAGTCACTATTCATCTACATTAAAACCTTTTTATTTTCAGGCAAGAACAAGTTTGTTAGCTAACGCTGTGTTAAATCTGAGGGCGTAAAATTTTCATTCAGCATTTTATGCTCATAGAAGATATAAATGTGTTTTGTAATCTTGTGAGAATAACTGTCAGTTAATAATAATCTTAACTAAAGAGCTGCCTACTTTGACGGAAAAGGGAATGTGTACCTCGAATAATGTACACAAACTCCTTGTCAAAAGTCATCACACAGAAGCGAAAGCCAATATTCTCATTTTCCTTTCGTAAATCTGCTGGGAAAATATGCTTGCAATAGGATGAAAACTGGTTTCAGGCAACATTGTAAATGATGGCTATTACTTAATCTGAGGATCTGGAGAGTACAGATGACACAGTTAAGTCTTCGAGCCCGGATGATGTTTATTTTTAACACTTTATTGAAAAAGGAGGGAAGGTTGAAATGATCATTGTCTAGCCCTACTTTAAACATGATTTCAACAGATCATCTACAAATCTGGACTTTCTTACATAACCGTCCGTCAGTGACCAGTGCTCCAGTGCGGTCCATCTTCAGTAGAGGCCGATTTTGCTGTGAGATTTGGACAGTGTCAGAGATCAGTCCGTGGCAATGTGACCTGTAAATATCTTGCTGTCCCCTGCACTACCTCTTCCGCCATCTGTGAGTTCACGCTAAAGCACCATGTGGATTTCTCAGCTTTGAGGGGCTTACCAGAGAAAACAGTGGAGTGTGTGTTCAAGGAGTGAGCTAAGACACAGGAGAGCCTTTTCCTTAAAAATAGAAATTGGCCACTTGGCCACCTTAAACAGAAGGCATGAAAAGGCCATCTATTACCACCTTCCACTCCGGGCTGAGGACGGAAGGGACAGGACACCTCAAGAAACACTGTGATTATACACTTCACTGATCATTTTTAAAGCCTTGGACTTGATTGTTTTTAAAATAGCCTTTGGCTATCTATCTGTACCAGTGATAGTACACAGAGATAGCACAGGCTGTACTCGCACCGATGGAGAGCTTCAGAATACTCGGGACTAACAGAAACAGGGTGTCCCGAGAGGAAAGGTCCCCGGGAAAAGCAGAATGGATGCCAGCTGTTCATCTGACTGAATGGAGCCAGTAAATTAGATTATTTGACCTGTAACTGGACACCGTCTAAACACTCAAGTCTGCTGGGAACAATTCCTATTTGTGTATGGCTTTTCCTAAAGTCACTGGATATTTTAGCAAGAGGAAGGTTAGGAAAAGATAAGGTTTCCAAGGAAGATTTTTTTAGGATTGACATATTTCAATTAAATTTAAAAAGCTGATGCACAGAGAACCTTTGATGAGTCTAGTACCCATATTAGACTTTTCTTCTGGATTACAGAATAGATGTTGAGATCTTTGTGATCTGTTTTACCATTTTTCTCTCCAACAACTTGAGCAGTAAGGGTAACTGGCCTGATCCTTGAACCTACGATCACTGTCAAGCGTTCTGAACACTTATCCTCAGCATTAGGCGAAAGAAGATGATCTCTCTTCTACATAGGAACAGACAAACTCTGCACAGTAGTACAATTTTTTTTAAGGAGACTATCTGCACAATAACACAATTTAAAAAAAATTTTTATCTGGATCCAAGTCTTTACACTGGCTCTCTGAGGATTGCAGAGGTTAAAATGAAAGACATTCTTGCTCCTAGATTCGTGGAAGGACATGGAAGATACATCTGTTTGATCTGGCTGTGTGGGGGAATACAGACTTAAGATGTATATCCAATATACATATTTCATAAAAGAGTAAATTATTTTCAAAGCAATGTGAACGTATTACTACATAAGCCAAAACAAAAATATTACCCAAAGTCATTATAATTACAAAGAATTTAATAGTAATAATTCATAGGTCTTCAGAGAAAAGAAATAGGTTCGTGCTGTCTAATATAAATAATAAGTTGGAAGACTTGTGGGCAGAAGCCAAATGCTTATAAATTGGAAATTATAGATTAATTCCAAGTGATTAATTCTAATAAGTTCTAATAAGTTCTAAGTAAATTCTACTAATTTTCAATGGCATATTTTTTTCCAATGATAATAATTTCCCTTTGTAAATAGGAAAATCGTAGTTATTACTATTAGGCATAGAAAGATGATTAATATCTAGTGTAATAGCTGAAATCTATAAAATAAACTCATTACTCACATTCCTATTGTATGTTATATCAATCATCACTTTTCTATCGATCAGTAACACTGGTTTTGATTTTAGTGGAATGAGATGAGGAAGGTGATGGTGAATAATAACCTAACGTCAAGAAGAAACCCGGATTCATCTTGTGTGCAGCTTGATGGTGGAGACACACGTGTCTCTGGATGAGATGAGTATAATCAACGAGATTGAAGAAAACTGCAGAACACAACCTTTTGTCCCAAACAACAAAGGACACTGCCTGTTCTTCATATGATTCGTAGGACTCAGGCTGAAGAGATTTTTGTTTCTTAACAAAAGAGCAATCACACTTTATAGAATTCTTTTTATTGCCTTCTGGCTCAAAGGTAAAATATAGACTAGAAAACTTGGAGAGTTATGGTTGAAAAGTTTTGAATTTCTGTGACACCGGATTTTAAGTATTACTAAACTCGAATTTCAAGTGAATTAATACTTTGAGTGAATTTTCAAATAAGCATGCATAGAGAAACAAAAATCAATACAATCTTCTATTATTAAACAGGGATATTTTTAAAAAATTTTACACGATACTTTGTGTTTTTTCATAATTAGGAGGAAAACAATTCTTAAACATTAAGAGAGAAAATTATTGACAAAGATGAATTTCTGTTTACCAAGTACCAAGTCTGTATATACCAAGTCTGTATTTTGAATTCCTTCAAGTCACTGGTTTGGATACCCACATCACTTCCACCTTCCAAAGCACCCTTCAGACCTGCAAGTCCCCAGAATGGCACTAACAGGTTCCCAGCAGCCCTGTGGATGGAAAAAGTGCCCTTTAAAAGCCGGCTGGCCAATACCTCGCCAACTACAAGCCCTGTGAGCCTGGAGAACAGCATGACCCTCACACTAGGATACTGTCCTTTTGAAGTGGGAAGAAAGGGGGCAGGGCGCAACCACTGAAGGAATGACACAGCAGCTGAGGACAGGACAAAGTGGCTAGAACCAAGATGGCGGAAGACTTGACTTCCAGTAGACCTTGAGCCTCATGGCGCACCCACAGGTGCCAAGACAGTTCCTAGGATGACCATAAAAGGTCAAAAAGTGGGTTAGGGGGCGATTCCTGGAAATCCTTGCCCTTTTCCCAAAGTAGTTGGAATAATCCTCCTACTCATTAGCATATGAAATTGCCAAGCCCATAAAACCTAACCAACTCAGCACCTTGCGGTTGCTCTCTCTCTCTCTCGCCTTCTGAGATGGCCGGCACTCTGCCTATGAAGTATGTTATCTCTCTAAATCAACTTGCTTTCACTCTACCATGCCTTGCTCTTGAATTCTTTTTTGCGTGAGGTAAGAACCTATTCTCTCACAACACTTCACCTCCAGGGAAGGAAAACAGAAGGGTTTCCAAGTCTGCTGCCCCAACCCCGGTGCACAGGTCCCCTCTATCCCCCAGCTCCTCCCACTCCCGCTGCCCATCTTAGGAAA